CTCTGCAGCTCCTCCAGGGTGAAGGTGTAACAAGCTGAAGCTCTTACCCAGAGAGCGAGAGGACATACTGTGCAGGGCCTGCTCTCCCATCTTCGCCAGGGCACTGAAGTAGGCCTCACTGGTCACAGTCAGGGCTGCAAAAGACACACGCAGACAGAGTCACACCCACACGGTGATCTGCAGTGTTAAAGCTACAGCAAGCACCGCTAGTAGTGTAGTTAATACCTTAGCATCTACTGTGCGGCTTTGTCTTCGTGCTTATACATTATACACCATATTCTAAGTTATGATGTGTAGCTTGTTCTAGGCGCCTGCCACCCTTTGTGTAAAGAAGTGCCTCCTGCTCTCGGGTTTAAATGTCTCTCTTGTAGGTTCCAACTTGTTCCAGACTCCCGCCACCCTTTGTGTAAAGAAGCATTCCCTGTTCTCAGTTTTAAATGCACTGCTGTGTAGTTTCCATGTGTGCCCCCTTGTTCAGGTTTCACTGTTAAGAATTTGGTCGGTATTGTTATCATTAAGGAACACACAACTTGGACGTGATCAGGGCCTGACTGATTGTGACGTGTGAATTGTTTTTTCTCCCCGCTGGCTTGATCTTCACACGGTGCTCTCGTGTTTCCTGGTATGTCTCCTTAATCGAAACCCACCCCGCGCCCTCTCACCCTGAAAGGCTTCGACATAGCTGCGCCCCAGAGACGCCAGCTTCTGCAGCCCGGGGTTGAACTGCTCCATCAGGTTCTGTACGGGTCACAGAGAGTCGCCGTTAGCCCAGCACACACGGCCCACTAGAACAGTGGGTCGAGCCAGCCATCTGCGACAGGGCGCTCGGAGTTCAGAGGAAAACAAAGGAAAACTGTCTTCATTTGCTCGCGGCTTCATCCAGCACGCATGGACTCAGGTGGTGAACAGAGAACAATATATTAAGACCATGTGCTCATCCATTCGCAGGAGAGCTATATCTATCCCAGAAAGCAACAGACGCCCGTCCATCACAGGTCTCACACAGACACAGACACAAACACTCTCGCCAGGACCAATTTTCCCTAGAAGCCAATTAACCTATCAGGATGTCTTGGACGGTGTAACAGAAGCACCTGGAGGAAACTCACACGAACAGGAGGAGAACATACAAACTTCACACAGACAGCACCCCAGGAGCTGAACCCAGGGCCCCAGCACAGTGAGGCAGCAGTCATATCAACTGTGCCACTGTTTCGCCCATCCAGTATAAAGACAAGCTGTCCATTTTAGTTCAGATCACTGCAGCAGAGATGAGCACTTTGGTCCTTGGAGGGGTCTGTGTGTTTTCAGCAGACACACTGACTGACCCCTCCAGGACCAGGACTGGACAGCCCT